GGGTAGGGGGCAGGTAGGGCAATGGAGATCCGACCCCCTGCGCTGCGGCTCTGACCCTGTTTGTAGGAGGGAACGCGCGAGGAGGGGCTAGGCTTGAGATAATGGGGACGCCCTGGGTAGGAACCTAACCCGGAGCGGCCCAGAAGGAAGTGTTGGGTGGCCCCGCCATCCAGGTCTCCTTGTGGGTCCTGCGCTAGTGTCATTGGCGCCTTGAACATGACATTCATTGCCTCTCCTGGGAAGGCTGGATTTGCCGGCAGCGGAAACACAGATGTTTTTGTTGTGACTTGAGGGTCATCTTGGCCCCGGTGCAGCTTCCACTGCGGAGTCGGACCTACTAGGTGCCGGAGCATCTGACTCCGAATGAAACCCTCTTTTATCACGGTGGGGCCGGGGAGAGGTGTTTACCTTGTGTTTTGCCCGTCGGATGTCCGGTTCAAAGGCAGCTGGTCTCGGCCCGGATGGCCCTTTCCAGTAATTTCGTGCCTACCAGAACCCGCCTTTGACCACCTGGTCTGCAAGTCTCGCTGTAAACTGAAGTTACGGGAAGAAAGGCGAAGATGGGTTCGTTCCCCCGAGGTGGCTGGCGATTATGATAGTCATGGCGAACGGAATGCACTTTACCATTTGCTGCATTGTAGTATTTAAACAGCACTGCAGCAGGGGAGTACTTCACGGTGCTCATTCATTCGTTCACGTCAACATCTGTGTATTGCAGGACCACTCCCGCCTGCTCCCCTCTCCCAGCTGTGTGTGCCAGGCACAGTCTTAGGCACCTGATCAAGATCAGTCTTCCTTTGGAATTTATGCTTTAGTTGGGGGGACACAGATAATAAAACAAGTGAGCAAATAATTTCCCGTAGTGGTGTGTGTTATGGAGAAAACAAAGCTTATTAAGGGGCTAGAGAGTGCAGGGAGAGTGTGCCAAGCAGGAAGTGGAATGTCCCCCTGAAACTGTTTTTAAAACAAACAAAACAGACTCAATGCCATCAGGTAGACTCTGACTCATAGTGACCCTAGAGGACAGGGTAGAACCTCCACTGTGGGTTTCTGAGGCTGTAACTCGTTATGGGAACCGAAAGCCTCACTGTTCTCTTGGCTGATGGGCTGGAACTGCGGACTTGGTGGTTAGCATCCCAATGTGACATTTCAACAAGAACCCGAAATGACCACCAGGAGCTAACAAGGCAAGCGCTCCCCAAAGGGGCAGCGGCACATGCAAAAGCTTGGCAAGGGGCACCAGAAGGCTTTGCTGGGGAAATGGAAGACTGCAGTGCAGGCGGGAGAGTAGGGAGAGAATCCGGGCAGGTAGGCATATACCGTGGAAGAACGGGAGGCCCAGAGAGAGCGACAGACTTGTACAGTGTCATGCCATTTGTGAACATTGGAACCACAGCTGAGAGCCTCTCTGTGCGAAAGCCATCATTGCATTGCGCCGTGTTGCTGGCCATGATCTCTGGCCGAATCTGCACTTTCTGCACTTTGGTAGGGACTTGTGCTCCATCTGGTGGCCTTGCATAGGGAATATGTCCAGTCTGAGCCTTATCATTGACATTTTTCTCTAGAGCCCTCATATTCCTGTGGACACGAGTCTCTTCAATGGATGGAATGCCTTTAGGTTGTGGGCAAGTTCAGCTCTTGAAAGGATTTCTCCTTAAAAGTCCTGGGACAGGCTACCTCGTCATAAGGGGGTGCGGTGGGGGTGGGGGATAAGTGTTGGACTGCTAAAGTGGTGGTTCGAACCCACCAGCTGCTTGCGGGAGAAAGTGGAGGCTGCCTGCTCAGGTAAAGAGTTACAAAGTCTCTGAGACCCGATACAAGTTAGAATGGGCGTGGTGGCAGTGCGTCTTGGGATGGGGGTGTGTTAATGAAAAAAGTTTCAGAGAGGTCAGCAGGGCCGGCCCCAATCCCAACTGTGTGGACCCCCCCGCTTCAGAAGAATGCACTTCAGAGGACAGCGCTGGGGCTACAGCTTGGGGAGCGGGGTGCATTGGATTAGAGCACACTGGAGAAACCAAGGGTTGGAGAGGCCATCCTGGCCCATTAAGCCCCAGGGATGATGTTCCTGCTCCGAGCAGACAGGGCCCCGGGAGGACGGTAGGGCTGGCCCCACCCTGGGACACGGCATCCCACACAACCATGGCGCTGTGGGGGACAGCACTGGAGACACAGTGAAGGAGTGGCGCCCCATCACGCCGGGGCTCGGCACTGAGGGCATGCAGCAGAGCAGCAGCGGTTGCGGACGGATGCTCTGGTATTCCCCCAGGGAATACCAGAAATGGGCTTGGGAGACCGAGTGTGGCACCCCATCAGACTCAACTGGAAAACACTCGTAAAGGCCAACAAACACACCTTGAACTATTAAAAAAAAAAGAAAAAGTCATGCTGTCTTTGTGTCATGGGCTGTCGGCCGTTCTCACCCTTCCCCTCTGTGTTAGGACACCAGTAGAAGATACGAAAACAAGGCCGGAAGCTTCATCACCGGCATCGATGTCACCTCCAAGGTAAGGTGGACCTCGAGTCGTTCCGTTTGATAGGTGTCCTAAGAACTCTGGCCCTAGGGCTTAACAGAATAGTACCCTATTTTTGCCCCTTGTTGCTGGATGACATTAAAAAAAAATTTTTTTTTTTGAAAAAAAGAAAAGAATTGGGTGTTGTACAAAGCAGCCCGCACGCCTCCCTCCCTAAAGCATCCAGGCAGCATTATGTCCCCCAGATTCCGGAAAGCTACAACCGCCCTCCCTAGATGCTTGGGCTGACTCCCCATTGCCAGGATGAAAGTTCCTTGTTGGAATGATTTTTGAGAATGCGGTGTGCATTTTTTCAAAATGTGGGGCTGGGTCCATTTTAAATGACAACCAAAAGATGAAAAATGCTGGCCCTTAGTAAACGCCTCTGTTCTTCACAGCGTGCCGGCTTAGAGAAATTGGATCTTCTGACGGTGTGGCTATTTAGGCTTTTATTCTCAGTACCTGGGTTATTACCTTTGCACCACTGATTGCTGTTAACTAGATTACCAGCTTCATCGCAGTGCCTCATAGAGCCAAACCGAGTCTTTTCTTTTCCAAGCAGGCCGTTCATGTTTGGTGCTTCAATTGGTTGTATCTAATTTAGGCATTCTTTCCTATTTTGATGTATGTAATTAGATTTGAACCAGAATTATGGCTCAGAGTGCAATATACTACTACTATATTGGGTGCGTAACAACCCAATTAAAAATTAAGTGTGTTGCATCTGCCTTGGAATAGCTTATCTGAGTCTCGTCTGTCTTAGATTGCTTAAAGACCCAAAGAAAGAGAACCAGTTGTCTTTGAGACAAGCACAAAAATAATAAAAGGAAACGGTTTCTTTCTTTTTTATTGAAAAAGCAGTAGCTTGTACCCTGACTGGATTCCCTCACAGATTGGAGCCGGCAGCCCCACAGTTGGTCCTTCACGCAATGACTGAAGGAAGGTAGACAGGTTGTCTGTCTGCATTGGGAAGACCTGAGTGAAGGAAATGCAGACTGACGATTGGGAAGTGACAAGGGGTTGCTGCTTGCATCCCCACAAGTCTGGCCTCCAGTCGTGGCGAAGCCAGTGCACAGCCAGGGAAGGGTTCCTCAGAGCCATTAGTAGGAGATGCACATTCGGACCAGCGCTTATTTTAGCTCTTGGGAAAACTTAGGGACCAGGGCTTATTTTAGCTCTTGGGAAAACTTAGGGAGCTGATTATTTTCTCAGGGAAGCTCCAGTGCTTCTTGTCACTTACAGATGAAAACTGGCAATTCCCCAGAGGCAGTGGGGAGAGCGAGGGTGGCATGGCTGCTATTTTCAAACGAGGAGATCATTAGGGACTGCTTAGGCGTGCTCACCAGCCCTGGGAGGATCCGACCTGGGGGCTGGTGGTGGTGGGGAGCCTGGAACTAGCACTGGGTTCAGAGAATCTGCCTTTACTAGCTGAAGTACCGTCTAGCAAACCTTTTTAGGTTCTTGTGCCTCGGTTTTTCCTCCTGGGAAATGGGGGTGCTGAGACTGTTTGGTGGTAACTTTGCATGATTGTTTACAATAAATTTAAGGTCCGAGGACGTCATACAGCTGGGAAGCACTGAAAATTATTCTCAGTCGTCAACAATGTCCCAGGCACTATTGCAGTAGAGTGTTAGCGTACCCCTCCCAGGAACTGCACGCAAATGCCCGATTCTTGGCAAAAATGACCCCAGGTACACTGTTGTCCTTGTCTTCACACGATCCCTGGTGCATCGTGGCATCTCTGTGATGTCACTCTCTGCCTGCGTGTTTCACTACTTTAATCATTGTGTCCCTGTACTTTCTAGGAAGCAATTGAAAAGAAAGAACAACGAGCCAAACGCTTCCATTTCCGGTCAGAAGTAAATCTTGCCCAAAGGAATGTCGCCTTGGACCGAGACATGATGAAGAAAGGTACAGGCTCTCTGGGGGGGCGGGGGGTGTTCCCCGAGCCTGGCTTCTGGCCTGGCTCTGCAGGTCCTGTTCTCACCCAGGTACTCCTGAAGGAAAAGACTGGTGTCGTCCGCTTTTTCTGAGGCTTTCTGTTAAAAAATTGAGATTCTGAGAGCTGTGTTGCAGAGGTTAGACTGGGGGAGGGGAAGTTATGATCCTGTCATCTGAGTAGGAGCCCTGGTGGTGTCCCGATTACGTGTTGGGCCGCGATCTGCATGGTCAGCAGTTTGAAACCACCAGCCTGCTCTGTGGGAGAAAGACAGGGCTTTCTAGTCCCATACAGAGTTAGTCTCTGAACCTCACAGGGGCAGTGCTACTCTGTCCTACGGGGCCTCTGAGTTGGCATCGACCTGCTGGCACAGCGATGAGTTGTCTGAGTGGGTCCTGAAAACGGTGAGCTACTGGCAGCGCTTTTATAGAGCTTCGAAGGTTCCTTTACTGCATTTCTTGGCAGAGGGGTTAACTTCTGGCCTTTCAATCTTGTCAGAGTGGAACTCCCAGACCCTCTTTTTAGGGGTGTTGGAGCTGTATTGGGATTGGGGGAAAGGCGTTTATATTTCTGTCGCTTTATCTGAGTGTGTGACAAGTGTCAACTACACAGACCATCCTGTGTCCGAGGAGGCAAAGCTCATCTTGCCATGAGGTTTATCATTCTCCAGTTGAGGGTGTGATGTTATTTTATGTTATTGATAGTTCAAAGTGTTTGCTCCCTAGAACTCACCCTAAAGTACATTATTGTCCCTGGTGGCATAGAGGTTAGGTGTTGGCTGTTAAGTGCCAAGGTCAGCAGTTCAAAATCACCAGCGGCTCCAAGGGAGAAAGATGAGGCTTTCTTAATCCCAGAAAGGTGGATAGTCTTGGGAGCCCATGGGGCAGTTTTACCCTGTTCTGTAGGGCTGCTGTGAGTCAGAATAGACTCCATGCTGTGAGTTTGGAGAGAGAATGAATGAAACAGAAATCCACCGTCGTGGCATCAGTTCTCCCTTGGCTGCTCCGTGTAGGGTCTTAGCCTATCCACCGTCACAGGAGCAGCCTGCTGTCTCCATCGCTCCTGGAACAGCGGATGGGCTGGAACTGCTGGCCTGGAGGTGAGCAGCCATGCTTATCCTGCAGCCCCACGGGGACTTCATATGTATGTATGGAGGGTGGAGAAAGACCCTGGGAAAATGGAATTATCATTGAATAAATAAAATAACGAATTCTATTTCTATAAACAAAAAATAAAAATGGAATGATAAAGTCTGAACTCTCTTTTTTTTTTTAAAGTCTGAACTTTTTGACACCTCTCCTAAATGTACACATTTGTGTGCATGTGCCTAGAGAGCTCTCGGAGCTCTGTTGGCATTAGAGGTTAATCTGTAGGTTAGCTGCAAGGTGAATGACTCTCCCGGGAGAAAGTTGAGGCTGCTGGCCTGCTCCTGGAACAATTTTATAATCTCTGAAACCCTAAGGAGCAGTTAATTTCTCACAAGAACCCTATAAGGAATATATTTTCCTTCTTGCTTTATGACGGAGAAAACAGACTGGGAGAAGTCCTAATAAATTTCCCAGGGTCACGGAGAGTCAAGGTGGAGTCAGGATTCGAACCGATGTTTATATGATTCCACAGCCTTGCTCTTAACTATTTTTCGCTATTGCTTTAGGATATCTGAGATATTTACTCCACCCTGTCACCAGACCATACCCCCTCCAGTCCATGCTAGTGGGCAGAGCCACTTGAAAGCAGAGCTGCCCTCTGCAGGTCACCGCTCCTTTTCCTGCATCACGAGGTCAGCTCGAGACAGGACCTGCCTTCTCCCAGGCTGGGCTTCAGGCTTTACCTGGAATGGCAGGGACAGACGTTCAGCTCTCTCATTCGTGCACTTGCTGGGTCTGGGAGTGAGAGGCCTTCATGCCCTCTCTCACAACTCTCACAACTTCATGCCCTCTCTCACAACTCTCACAGCTTCATGCCCTCTCTCACAACTCTCACAGCTCTCACAGCTCTGGTCTTGAGAGTGTCGTCGTGTCACCGCACCGGTGACTTTCTTAGAACAACCCTCGGGTTGTTTTGCCCGTGGTCTTAGTCAGCCTTCCATCTGTGTGTTCAGAAGTTACTTTCTGATGAAGGATCCCTAGTCACCCATTTGAAATTTTTGCCCGCCATGGTTGGAGCTATGGACGGTGCCAAATCCTTTGGAATCCGCCCTTTGCTTGCTGTGATGGCGGGCAAGCCCCTGAAGCTCTCTAGGTCTCAGTCTCCTTGTCTGTAAACTTGGGACCACCTGAGTAGCATCACTGTCTGGCTTTAATTCTCCATTTTCCTTGCTTTTAAAACCTTTTTTACAGCAACCATTGCCTTCTGGTTCTAAAGAAATTCCCAGAAGAGGCAATAGCTTTGCCTGGGTGGTCAGCTGGAGCAGTGGGCTCCTACAATCTGCTCTTCATCCAGGGGCAGCAGGTTCCAGGACAGTGTACTTGAACCCTCCTGGGAAACTCTACAAGAAAGAAGTCCTGCAAGGCCCAGATCACTTTAATCACAGTGGGAGGGGTTGGCCAGGGGTGGGAAACCAGGGGCCTTATTTTTATGTCTCTGCGGGAGACTACCAGCCATTGGGACTGTGCTTGGGAGCTTGGTGTCTGAAGCCTGGCTGCCTGGATGCAATCTAAACTTTAGAATAGCATTGTTGAGCCCTTTCTTCAGTCTCAGTAAACCCTTAGGTGATGGACATGCAGGCTTCTGCCCATCCCCTTCATTTGCCTGATATGATGTGCCTCATGCTGCTTTTCCTACGGCAGGGCTGACTCGCCATCATGTCTTTCGCAGCGTTCCGGTCTTGCGGTGTATTCTGGTCAACCAAAACAGCCAGGATTTCCCCGTAGGACTACTGCTCATCAGAAGCCTTTCCCAGGAAGGACACAGGAAAGGGGGGATAAGTGTTACATGGGGGAGATTACAATGATTAGTTGAAACAAAACGTCTGGTAACTGTTAAGTGTAAAACTCACGATCTGCGCTGGGATCCTTAAAACAAAACAAACCAACCCAAAGCTGTCTTTCTCATCTGTGCTGAAGTGCTTTAAAGGAAACCATCCTCCTCAAGGACGCCTTGTTGATTTGCAAACTCCCTGTCAGTCCACTGATGTAATTTTCATCTACGCTCAATATTCTAGCTGTAATCTCCACTTGGTGTCTTCTCCAACCTTGCTCCACATCTATGCTTAGCTGTTGATCGGTGCTGCCGTGAAATTTCAGTCTAGCGATTTTAAGTCTTTTTTTGGAAATCATTTTATTGGGGGCTTGTACAGCTCTTATCACAATCCATCCATCCGTCCATTGTGTCAAGCACATTTGTACATTCGTTGCCCTCATCATTCTCAAAACATTTGCTTTCTGCTTGAGCACTTAATATCAGCTCATTTTTCCCCTCCCTCCCTGCTCCCCCTCCCTCATGAACCCTTGATAATTTACAAATTATTATTATTTTGTCATATCAGTGTAAGATATGATTTTAAGAGGAGGCCTATGAACAACAGAGACAACGTTGGGGCGACTGGCTTGGTAGCGAATTGATGTCATTTCCAATGGGGAAGACATGGCTTCCTAAGGGATCAGAGACTCCGCCTAATGAGCTCTTTTGGAAGTTGTGAAGAATGACATTAAGTTTGGGGGTCTGTGGTCTGGGAGATTCTTTTTCTCCTTTTGTGCAAATCAGCGCCAGCATGCCCATCTCAAGCCCTTCAGGTACCTCTGCCCTCCCTGTGGTTTCCCCAGATTACCTCCCGCCTCCTGAAACCACCGCTGTGGGGCTGAGTCCGTGCATCGGGGGCAATGCTGGGCTAGGAGATTGAGATCTATTTAAATGAATTCCTACCCTGCTGTCTCCGAGCTTGGGTTTTGGTTCTTCTTCTTTTTTTTTTTTTTAAATGTTTCCCTTAAACCCTTGCAAATGTTTCCTAATCAAATCCCAATCATGCAATGTTACATTACATAGGTAAGGAGTTACACAGAAAAAAGTTACATTCCAATCACATTATAGCATTAACTGATGTTGTAGAGCACTCCCAGCGAGGCAGCAGTGGTGGCAATGGCTATGAGTCACTTGCCACTTCTGCATGAAATTCCCACGAATCGGCGAGGTCTTTTCAGCACCTCCGACATCACTTGTATCACGAAGGACGATTCAGGACTGCTCTCCCATCTGCATTTCATCTCCACTGGAATCCACACCCCCATCCTGCTTTTTAGGATGAGGATGCTATCTTTTGAAAGGTTTATAAGCATAGCATGGTTAATGCAAGTGAACAATTCACAATTATGGCAAGTGTCACTGTGAGCAGTTTCATTTACGATGTTCTTCAATTACATTATAGCATTGACAAGTCCAAAATCTTGATCTTTCAGCAAAGCAGCAGTCTGTAGTAATAGTCCAGTCACTGTTGTATAAAATGTTCAGTTATGATTGAGTCCCAGAGTTTCTCTTAGATGTCATCTGTAGTGGAAGAAATATCTTGCCGTCAGCGATCGCCATTCTCAGGAATCTGCGAGATCTTTTTGACGTTTGGGGTAACTTCAATAAGCAGGACGGGTTCGCATCACAGCATGGGCGTCCCTCCTTTCTTCTGGGCCTTGCTGGCTGAAGAGAAATCCACCTATCTCCTTTACCTCAGCCCAGCTTGGTGGTCCACGTGGAGAGAGGGGGAAGGGAAGGAGGGCAAGGGAACAAGGGAGAGGAGGAAGAGAGGGGAGCCAGAGAGAGTCAGAGAGGTCCGAGCTGGTTCTTTCTTAATGATAGCTATTCTCCTGTCTGTTAACACCAGCAAAAAAAAAAAAAGGAGAGCAACGTGTTTGTTTTTTTTCTTGCATCATCTCTCACAGCAGTGTTACCCAGACACTTAAAACCCACACCACCACCAGTGAGAGAGGGCTATCAAAGCAGGCCATGCCCCTTCCTCCTGCCCCCATCTGCTGGTTCCGCGAGG